GGGCTGGTGAAAGTAACTAGGGGCACTGCAGCTGGGGTGTGACCTGGAAGTAATATCTCCCTCCCTGCTTCCTCGCCCCTCTCTGCTCCCTGGCTGCCATGGGCAGGGCAGGCCCTCCTGGCCTGCAGTCTGCCCCCAGCCAGCCAGCTCTGGACAGAAAGTGAACCGCTTGCCCAAGTGACCCTCTTGCCTTTAAGTTGTGTGTGACTAAGACAGCAGACCTAAACAGAGTTCCTGTGTAGTTCTCTCTGTCCTTAGAGTGTACCCCATAAAAACTGTAGCAGAGTAAGGTGTTCGCATTGTTTTTTGTGGGTTGTATTTTCAGACTGATACACAGAATTTTTGTTTGTTTTTCCCTGTTACATACAATTCTTTAACTGCTGAAATAGAAAAAGGTATACTTAACCCTAGCTTTAACCTCTTCACTGTGCCTACCGCACAGACACCCCGTGGCTTTTGGGTCACCCTTCCTAGGTTCCTTCTGTCTTTTCCTCCTCCACAGGTGCTTCCCCCACACCCAGCCCTGATTTGACTCCTTAGCTAAAATGACAATACCAGGAAAGAAAAGTGCAGCCTCAGATGGCTGGCTGTCCATGGGTGGGATGCTGAGGGGAGATTTCCAGTGGACAGGAAGTCCAAGTCTGGGGGATTTCGGTGCCAGTGTAACTAGCTGATAGACCCATGGCATTACAGACACATGCCCACTCCTGTGTGTTTGGTATAAATGTAGATGGCCACGAGGGCCTGCTATGGATTGAGCGGCTGAGGACTGCCAGGAGACAATTGGGCTTGGGTTGAGGATGGCTGTCCACGGAGACTGACCCAACCTGCAGCAAACCCCCCGCAGGCCTCGTTGCAGACAGCTCAGTGTTGGTTGTAGATGAGCTAACTTAAGAGAAAGCAAGCTGTGCATGCATACGTAGTTGCTCCTTTAGGCTGCAGCTATGGACTGAACTTAGCACCCAGGCTTTTCATAGCCTGGAGAGCCCTACGGTTTGATTTCTGTGATGGGCGCATGACTCAGAGAGAAGGCAGCCTAGCAGCAACTGTCTAATAAGCTCAAGGAGATTTTGCCTTCGGCAGTTTTAAGAATGAATAATAAGTGTGACCACTATTTACAGTAACATTCAGCAAATATCAGTTGAGTACCTAACCAAAAGATGGAAGCTTGGAGGTCTATTAAGGAAGATTTCCAAATCAATTTCTTGAAACGAGCTGTGCAGAGAATCGGTTGATGATACTGGTTATCATGCGGGGGAAAGGTTCTGGTTGGGCAAGTGGTGGGTTAAACAACTGAGCATCTCTCTTCTGGGGCTTTCTTCTGGGGCTTTCTGGCCATAAATTGTGTGCACGGTGAATCTCTGAAAGGGGCTCAGGCTGACAGTGCCTTGCTAACAGATGGAACAAGCCGCTGCCGGTGGCTTGCTTGTTTCTGGACTCATCTGCCTGCACCTGGATCACTGTCAGCGGTGTCAGCGTGGGCTCACCACCTTGTCAGTGCACGCAGCAGGGATTCAGAGCAAGCGCCCAGGACAGGGAAGGAAATGGTGACACCGTGGGGGGGAAACACAGGAGTGGGGCTTTATTTCCAGCCATTGTGCTAGTTCCTGTGGGTAATTAGACAAAGTATTAATATGTTGCCTATGTGAATTTATTAGTTGAATTACAAGGCTTACACATGAGTCATTGTTAGCAAATTGAGATAAAATGTAATGAAAGCCAAGCTTTCGAAGATCTGTTTAAGAAAGAAGACAGGCGTGGTGTGCAAGCTTTCTCCAGACTGTGGCCTGGGGTTGGAAGACTGACAGGATTTCCATGGCAGAAAGAGCAGTCCCACTGCAGATCTGTAGCGACTTGGGGGTGGAAGGAGGAGCCAGGGGGCTTTGGAGCAGAGGCAGCTGGCATCTGGCAGCTTTGTGCTAAACACTTAAGAGCTCTCATCGTGTAAGCCATGTGAGCGCTGGGAGCTTTGGAGGGAGAGGTTTGTGGTGACAGCAAGGCCCACAAGGTGCTAAAACTTGGTGATGAGCACAGGCACCTCTGCCTCCTACCCCAGCACCCTGTCTGTCTGTCAGCCTTGGCAAAGTACTTGGAAAAACTGAGGACCAGAAGTTGGCTATAAGTCGCAGCCTGTTTACCTCTTAGCATAATCATGAGGACTAAGTGAGGTAAAGAAATACGCCCTTTAGTGCACGGTACATGTTGGGTACTTTTTATTACGTGGCCAAAGCTCACTGGAGCAGTGGCTCTTGGACAGTGGTATCATATCATCTGTGAGCTGGTGACACAGTGGATCTTCACAGATGCCCAGGGACAGGGCATAGGAGGTGATTTCAGAGGCTCCTGGGGCATCGCACGCAAAGGCTGCCCTGGGGCACTCCTACAGCTGAGGGTCGGAGCTGGGGGGGGGGCGCGTATTTTAAGTAGCATCAGAGTGACTGACTGTGTCCTTTGCAGTACTGAGGAGAGGGAATAGGGAATTCTTTGCAGTACCAAACCAAAAGCTTTACACACGTTCAATAAATACTTGTTTTTGTATTATTGATGACACCTGCTTTAGTACTGTGGTGGAGACGAAAGCAAGGTTGCAGGGCGGTGGGAACACATAGCCTAGAGGATGCCACCACCACAGGACCGTGACAGATCTGGTGTGAGGGTCAGACCTATGTGCAACAGATGTTTACAGAAGGCCCCCTTCCTGTGACCAGGTCCTGTGCTGTATGCTGGAAATAGGAAATGAGGCATCATTCTTCTTAGGCTTTGCAGAATTATATCTTAAAAAGGGTTTTGAAACTGTTTTCTAGCCACTAGGTAGTAGTGTCTGATCCGTCAGAAGATAAGCGTGTGATGTCTTGCACAAGTGTGCAAGCCTAATTTGAAACCCCTACCTCTTTCCTGCACGTGTGCTGGGGATGGAGCCCAGGCCTTCCCGTGTGCCCAGCAGGAGCTCTACCCCAGCCCATCACCACCTCCTTTCGGAAGTGTTCTGAACATTGACTACAGCCTGTAGAGATGATGTCGAATATTTTGAAAGAGTTTTGTCTGTGTTTCAGGTTGGTTTTCAGCACTGAGAACCTAGGCTGGTGGCTTTTCCTCCCACCTCCCCAGTCAGTGTTAACAGTGAGAGATCCTAGACTCTTCAGCTTGGAATAAAGGAAATTAGCTTTTAGTGTCGTCGTCCATCCAGATTCAGCCGTCCCGTAACTGCCCGCTGTGTACACAGCACTGTGATTGTGGTGGGTGTCACACAGCTGAAGAGCAGACCTGATAGCGGAAGACCATGCTGAAAGGTGTGGAGGAGGGCGCCGTTAGGGCAGGGTCTGCCCTGGCCGTGTCGGGTGGAGGTCAGCCGGGCGGGGGTAAGCCGGGGGCTTAGAGGGTTCCACCTTCACACACCCACAGAACTTGGACTTGTAAGACTCCCCCTTTCACAGTGATAGGGGTAAGTGAGTTGTTTCAAATGACTGGCTAGAACACTATTTTCCAGCCTTAGACTTTCTTGAAAATAGGTGGCATACTATTTGACCTTGCAAATGGGACAGAGTTCTGTTCTATAGTTTGTGAGCTTCCAGTTTTGTGTGCTGACGAGATTTAAGGGACAGTCAGCATCCTCCAGAGATGGCAGTGATGACTGCTGAATCTGAAATTTCACTCGTTCCAAGGGTATGTAACTGACACTCAGACCATGCTGCTTGCACTTTCCTTCCTGCTATAGAGACTTGGGCTGGTCAGGTGGGGACTGAGGACTCTGATAATACTCTTTCATCATCTACCTTTTCTCTCCAGACACCACAGAAGAAAGTGGCTGAAAGAAACCTCAGTCTACCACATTAAAAAGATTGCTCGGGGCAGACGAGTGTCTCTAGAAACAGAGTGGTCTGTGGTTTTGTGTTGGAGAAGGTGAACCTAGAGAAAATTGAAACCTTTTTAAAAATGTATCAATTGGCCAGGTGTGATGGCGTACTCCTGTAATGCCAGCACTTGGGAGGCAGAGGCAGGAGGATCCCTGCAAGTTTGAGGCCAGCCGGGGCTACATAGTGAGACCCTATCTCAAAAAAAATTAGCAGATTGATTTTTAATTGATTCATTAAAACCTTTCCTATCATAGTGCTAGAATGAAGGTGGGGTATCTGGAGACCACATGCAATGAATAGGAATATATGCTTTTTGGGGGGCTGAGGTTATGATCTTGCACTTGCCAAGCAGGCACTTGTGCTGCTGAGCTGTATCTTCTGCTTTTTTTTTTTTTTTTTTTAAAGACAGAATCTCTTGGGGCTGGGGATTTAGCTCAGTGGCATAAGTGCCTGCTTTGCAAGTGCAAGGTCCTGAGTTCAATCCTCAGTACCATTTAAAAAAAGAAAGTCTCCAAAAAGTAAAAACAAAAAAGACAGGGTCTCACTTTGTAGTTCAGGCTGGCCTTGAACTCACAGTGATCCTCCTGCTTCAGCCTCCTAAGTGCTAGGATTATAGGTTTGTGCCACCATGCCTGCCTTGGAATGTAACTTTTTTTTTGGTACCAGGGATTGAACTCATGACCTTGCACATGTCGGGCAGGCGTTTAAGTGGAATGCAACTTTTGAAATTTATGAATTTCCTACATCTGCTTGATATTGACAGAGTTTCCCCTGAGCCCTACAGCTACCCAAAAGTTGGTGTCCTGAAAACATTGACTGCAGTACAAAAAATGGGGATATAAGCCAGGTGTGGTGGCTCACGCCTGTAATCCCAGCATTTAGGAGGCTGAGGCAGGATGATCATTGTGAGTTTGAGACCAGCCTGGGTTACAAAGTGAGCTCAAGGCCAGCCTGAACTGCATAGCGAGACCCTGTCTCAAAAAAAAAGACAAAAATAAAAAAAATGGGGATATGGTTGCATAGGGTTTTAGAGTTCAAAGAGGTTTTACATTTCCATAGGAAGAAAAGGAGCCCACAGTTGTGTGGTAGGTTTTGTTATGGCTGCTCTTGAGTTCACCTCGTCTTCTGCTGTCTTGATTTCCACAGTGAACACCTACTTCTTCATGATGCAGGCTCAAGGCATCCTGCTGCGGGACAACGTGAGGACCATTGGTGCCCAGGTGTATGAGCAGGTGGTTCGCAGCGCGTATGCCAAGAGAAACAGCAGCCTCAACGACTCAGGTGTGTTTCAGGTGAAGAGGGCTGTGTGGGAGGCAGATTTGGCCTGCATAATTACTTTCAAAGAAAGAAGTGGGTTGCTGAGAAGGAGAGTTTGTTTGTGACCTTATCGCTGAGCAGAAAGGTCCACGCTCAGGAGTCCTTCACCACTTCTGCTAACAGGGTGGCGAGGGTGACTCCCTAGTATCGTCACATCTGGGCTTTTCAGGGAGGTGAAGGGTGTTTTGCAGAATCCTTTTAAAGATGCCCCTTTTCCGTGTAGTGACCGCTGATATCTTGCCGCAGTGGGCAGAGGAAGCAGATGCTTAGTGGCCCCTGTGGGCCAGGACACGAAAAGCTGTTTGAGGGAGTAATTCAGCTTTTTACTACTTTGGCTTTTAACCTCAGAAATGGCACTTACATAGTTGGTGAGGGGAGAACTTGGTTGGCTCCTGTATTTACTGCATGGCCTAACCCCGAGGTCTGTTTGTTCAGTTAGTGTTTGGAGATCCACTTGGTGGATGGCGGGAAGTGGTCACTGTCTATGATGTTTTGCTTACCCTGTAATCTGGCCCTTGCTGTCTAAGAAAGAGATGATCCAACTCCACTGCCTAACATTGTTCACCCCAAGAGGCCTTCTTCACCCCATTGTTCATGAAAGCTTTTGTCGAAACTTAGCGAATCTCCCTTTCTTAGTGATCCTGTGATCTGGCAGCATTTTTCACAAGTTACAGTTATTCAAAAGTAGCTTCTGGAAGGAAAGTTGAGAAGACCACCTGGCCTTCCCTCCCAGGCAGATGTGTCACTCATCCTGTGGTTTATTCTCAGCTACATGGCCGAGTTTGTGTCACAGATGCCTGCAATAATCAGCTTAGGAAAAGGTGGTTTTGGCCCAAAGTTTTTGAGGTTTCTCTGCATGCAGAGTCCAGGCACGGGCTGCTTTTGGTGCTGTGACTGAGAGGCAGACATCCTTTGGAGCAAAACCACTCACCTTTTGGGCATAAAGCAAAAGTGATAACTTAATCTGGGCATCTTAAAGGGGCATCTTTAAAAGGATTCTGGAACAGAGGTTCCCTTGGAGAGCATGCCCCAGTGTCCTTATAACCTGCACAGCAAAACTTAGCAGCTTAGAGGTAGGGGCTTCTCCAGACTTTCCTTGCTGAGGGCATAAATAATAGCCCTCCTTTTCTCAGCCCAGAGGAAGTGACAGAATATGGCATGCTGGCCCAAGAGGCCCTAGACCATTTCCTTTGCCCGGGAGAGAGGGATCCCGGTTAGAATCTCGGGATGTGCATGGTCCCACAGCGTGTCCCTCCTTGCTGTTCCTGCTGTGCAAGACCGCACACCTGCACCCCCCGCAGAGGAGTCGGCCATTTGAAGCAAAGAGGCTGCCCGTCTCCTCAGCACTGGCTTTGGATAAAACCTTTTTTCTTCTCTTCAAAATACATGGCCTCCAAGAATTGACCAGCAGTGAGCAAACAAACCTGAGCCTTTGGACTTAGGTCTGGTAATAACCTGAAGTCCTCCCACCAAGCCTCCCCTCCTGAGGTTTCCTCCCCCCTCCCAAGAGTGCCACACCTTCAACACACGGGCCTTTGGGGAATCCGTCAGATCTAAACAACAGTCAGTGTCTTTCAGACCATTCGGCCAGTCACTGCAGTGAGGACCCCAAACTAGACATTTCTGCCTCAATACTTCGCACCTCAACTGTGACCTGTTTTGTGTGAGCGTTAATGATACAGAGAGTTTCGAAAGAACTCAGAGGCAGGGTGGTAGGTGGCTTGCCCAGCATTGTGCAAGAACGTGTTGCCGACGGTGGTTTTGAGTACTGAGGGTTAAATGCGTGTGTGCAAGGCCAGTGCCCTGCCACTGAGCTGTGCCCAACCTTGCCTAGCTGCCTTTATTATAGACTGTGCTTCAACTTTGAGATAAAACGTTTTTTTTTCTTCTAGAAACTGAGTGTAAGTGTTGCCCTGTCACGAGGCGTTCCCTGTGTAGAGCCAGCGCCTGTTTGCAGTACTGGGATGAACCCAGGGTCTGCACACTGAAAGACACCCCAGCCCTTTTCTATGTTTCACTTTGAGACCGGGGCTCGTTAAATTACCCAGGCTGGGCTCAAACATGGTCTTCCGGCCTCACTGTCCCTGAGTGCTGGAATTACAGACACGCATATGCCCCTGTGCCTGGTTCAGGGGTGGTTTTAAAAATTTAGTTTCTGGGATTTCATTTTATTTAGCATTCAACTTACAGCTTGTTTAGCTAAGAATAATGTACTTTTCTGTGACTTCCAAGCCCCCTATTAAAAACATGTACATATTTAGAGTAGTCTTTCCTTTGTATCAGTCCTCTCTTCTGTTAAGCTTTAAAATTGACCTTCACTATAAAATATGAAATTTCTTGGCAAACTTTCCAAATGAGATCCACTCTGTGGTGCTGGAGAATCAAGGGGAAGCATTGGCTCATGGAGGGAAGTTAACCCTAGAACTGACCCCACCTCGGTCTCTTCTGCCGCCCTATGTATCAGCAGCACGGGACTGCAGTTAGCAAACTGGTGGGCTTTGGTACTTTCTTCTTCTCAGCTCTTTAGGTAAATTGTGGTCACTGCTGGGAAGAGTTGCCTGAGCCGTGATTTACTTTAGAACTGGGGTAGGAATACCTGCATTCTAAAGTGAAATCTGGGTATAGTTTTGGTGCTGCGATTCATTGTGTGGTGTTTGGTCTATGCACAACCCAGGCCCTGAGCACTTTGCTTCACTGGATTCAAGCATGGCTGAATTTCAGTTATTCCTTTCCTCCTTCCACTCCCTTTCCCCCTCCGCTCCATCCCCTCCCTCCTTCCTCCCTTCCCTCTATCTCTGCATGGTAAGCATGCACTGTGTTACTGAGCTATGCTCCCAGCCCCTCCACTTTCCACCTGTAGTACAAATAAATCCAGCAGTTGGGGTGCAGTGTTGGAGTTGTGCAGTTGTATGACTCCAAGCCCTGACCAAACTTTTCCCTAATTAGTGATTACCTTCCTTTCTGGTTGCTAGGAGAAAGTACCTAACACTTTGTTAAAGAAGGCTTTGCTTCTGACACGGTTGCTAGACGTTTCAGTCCACAGTCAGCTGGCTCCAAGGCGGGACGGAATGGTAGAGGCATGGCAGAAACAGGTCATGGCAGGGTGGGCAGAAGGCAGCAAGCACCAAGCAGCAGCTGGCACAAGTCCTGCTTCCTTTCTGCTCCTTCTATTCCACCCAGGCTACAAGGCCATTTATGATTGGTGCCACTCACACCCAAGGTGGGGCTCCCATTATCCATCCATACCCTTAACCCATACACCCTAAGTGACTTCTACATGTAGTGATTTTTTGGGGGGTGTCTTTTGGAGACAAGGTTTTGGTATCGCTGTGCAGTTCAGGCTGTCTTGGAACTTACTTTGTAGCCTAGACTGACCTTCAGTTCCCAGCGATCTTCCTGCCTAAGCCTCCAAGTGGGCCACCACACCCAGCTAAATGTGCTAACTCTTGAGAATGCTAATTTTTAAAAATTCACAGATATTGACTCTGATAACATCTTCCAAGTATTTTTAGAAAGGCCAATGCTTGGTTTTTATTCACATGGAGAGGCATGTGGTGGTTTACCTAGGTCTGCTGCACACTGTGGTGTCTCTGCCCCTGGGTTTGGCAATTCAGGGAGAAAGCAGATTTCCACCCCTGCCCATGTTGGACAGCACTGTCAGCCAGGCTGCCCTTTGGAATCCCGAAGAGAGCTTTAGAAAGCACCCATGTCTGCACCTGACTCCACAGGATCTTATGTAACTGGTCCAGGGAGAGCCTGGGTACTACCATTGTGCCAGTGCTTCTGGATGGTTGTGCCATGCACCAGGCTGCAGAAGCACCGGTGCAAGGTGAACCTGAACAAACAGCTGCTGCTGGCAGAGAGCCTGGCGTGTGCGCCCTGAACGAGCCATGCCTGCTGTTTCCCGTCCTGCGGACGCAGGAGCAGCTCTCACCTTTGCCCTTCGCCCCTGCTGGAAGGGTGTGTCCCAATTCGAAGTAGATGAGAGTTACATTAGCGAGCAAAGCCATGGCCTTAGAGGTTCGGCAGGCTTGTTTTTCTCTCAGCAGCCCCTCACTTGTTAGGTACCGGAGACCCAGATGTTCCTCTGGGGCCTGAGAGGACAGTGTCCTGTGGGCCTGCCCGTTTCCAGGCAGCTGCCTGCCCCTGGGCAGCCGTAGGAGGAGAACCAGGGCTCCCACAGTCCCCGTGCTGGTGCGTACTGCGAGAGGAGCGGTTCACTTCCAGAAAGCCATCTGCAGCCATTCAGAAAGTGAGTTTTATTTTACATAATTACTTAAAGATTGTAAAACTAGAAATGAGGAAATTAGCCCATGTTTGCCACGTGAGTGTTGGGAGCAGATAGGAACAGGCTCCTCTGTGTCCTCAGACAGACCCAGTAGTCATCGGGGTTAGTGCTGTCTGGTCTCTGTTCTTCCTCCTCCCCACCCACCCCCATTTAGGTGGCCGTAAGGCTTGAGTGTCTCATTGCCTGGAATCATACCTTTGGGAATGGAGTGCTCCCTAGGCATCTCAGCCTGGTATTTTCTAGTACATGGGAAATCGCTTGCTCTCCCCCAGCCCTTAGAGAGTCATGCTGGCTTGGCGTATGTCTTCATATAGCTTAATCTCCACTGGGCTCTATCAACCCAACCCCCCCCCCCCCCCCCCCCGCACTGCCTTTGGAAAAGCTGTAGCTGGAAAGGGCAGAGAGTATTCTGTTACTTGTCTTCTTCGAAGAGATAGTTTAAATTCTCTTCAAATTGTCTCACTGAGTTTTGTCCCAAGTGCTTGTGGAGTTAGGCAGCTATGTGCCTATATAAAAGGATTCAGTGTATTAGCCATTTGATTCTTAGAAACCTTCTCACGGTGCTTTTTAGGAAATGAATTGAGTTGAAGATTCTACAGTTCTAAGGTGCAAAGTGAATGCGAACAGGAGGTTTTCATTTCCATAGATTCAGCAGGAATCAGAAAGGACTGGTGAAGCTGAGCATGGTGGCACTTGCCTGTAATCCCAGCACTCAGGAGGCCGAGGCAGCAGGATCCCAACAAATGCAGGGTCAGCCCAGTGAGAGCCTGACTCAGAAGAAACGAGAGAAAGCAGGAGAGAAAGTGTGGGAGCAGCTTTAATACGGTGTGAAGGAACAGCACAGTGTGATGGTGTGAAGGAAAGGTCGCAACCCCAGACCTGTGTTTTTGTTTTGACGGTGTTCTGGAGCGTAGTCCAGGCTGGCTTTCACCTTGCTGAGGAATCCAGGTCTAACTCTGCTGCACCAGCCTGGTCTCCTGAGGTGTACCTTTGGGGTTTCTGTTTATTTGTTTGGAAAGATGACATTGGAGAACCTTTTTCTTCTGTTCCAGCTGTCGGAGCAAAAAAATCTGTTTACACTCTTTACATCGCACTAAAATGCAAGAAAGGGTGATAGTGTGTGTGTGTTTTATTTATTTTAATGACCTAAACCCATAAGAATGAGGAGACCAGGAAAGGAGACTTTAGCAAATGAACCAATCACTAATACAGAACTTAACAGACCAAACAAGATGGGCTGATAACGCGGCACTGGGGAAGCCACCCTGGCCCAACTTACCCTCATCCCCTCAGAGCTCGGAGCTGCCAGTGTCTAGTGCATTCAGAAGTAGGGATAGAGTGGCAGCTGCGGTCAGGGTAGGCTGAAAGCTGGTTAAAAAGCAGCCAGATGCCCAGAGCCCTTTCCCCGTCCTGGCAAAGGGCCAGGAGGGAACCTGATAACCTCCAGAGATGGCAGCACAGAGAAGTCCCTCAACTTGGGGACACTTGGCATGTCTGACTTTGATGTTTGAAAAATGGGGATCACAGGGGCTGGGGACTTAGCTCAGCGGCATAAGCGCCTGCCTTGCAAGCAGGCAGTCGTGAGTTTGATCCCCGGTACCAATAAAAAGGAAAAAGACAAAAAAAAAAAAAAAGAAAGAAAAATGGGGATTACTTAATACCCTACCCCTTGTCTTCCTGATTAGTTCCAGGATCCCCATAGCCAGGGCCATGCTGTCCTGGCGGGCGATTAGACTGGATTCCTGCAGAGAATCTGGTCAGACCCAAAGGAAAGGTCCGAAGGGAACACCTCTCGTGGTGGGCGGGCCAGACCCCCCTGTGATGGACACTTGGTCCAGGCCTTTCCAGTTGGCTGTCCTGTGAAGTGTTAGCAAATGGGTCCATGCTAGAGTCAGGAGCAAACAGGAAAAGGCAGATCACAGAAGAGAGGACCTGCCGGGAAGTCGATGTCCCCCTCCCCAGACATTCGGAGGACAGGACTTTCCAAGCTTTCCAGCACAGTGGGTGGAAGCAGACACATGGGCATGAAATCTCCCAAACAAAGAGAAAGTTCTTCACTCATTGAAAAGGACTTACTGGGCCAGGGATACAGCTCACTGGCACAGCGCCTGCCTGGCAAGCACAAGGCCGTGAGTTCGATTCCCAGTACCAAAAGAGAAAGAAAGAAATCACTGGCCACCTGCCAAGATCAGGCTGGGATGAATTCAGGCTTAGTCATCTCAGCACAGTGCATAGGGAAAGTACTTCCTGCCTGGAATTCTGTAAACTCCACCATGCTGCAAACCAAGTGAGGAAAAACAGCTGCTGGCACCTGAGGTTGCAAAGGCACATCTCAGGAAGCTGTTCAGAGCATGTGCTCCACCAAGTGAGAGAAACAGAAATTGAATCTAGGAAAAAGGAGGTTTAGCCAGGTGTGGTGCACGCCTGTAATCCCAGCTCTCGGGAGGCTGAGGCAGGAGGACTGCTGCAAGTTCCACACCAGCCTGGTGACATAGTGAGTCAAAGGCCAGTCTCAAATGAGGACTCAGTCTTGTTCTAGAGAGGCAGAAACAATTTGTAGGACCGTAGCTGGCATCTGCACAGCAGGCATTTGGTGAGCGGGGTGGAGAGGATGGAGGTGAGGGAACACAGGTGTGACGGGGTGTCTTCAGAGGAGCAGTGGGGAAGGACGTGGCACTGGGTTGTAGTGATCGCTTTACGTTAAGCAGAAAGACAAGCTAGTTGCTCCAGGAAAACATTATTGATAACTTTCCTCTCCACGTTTCTGTTATGATGAGTATTTTATAGTGTTATAATTCTATAAACACTGGATTTCTTTCTTTATTTCTTTGGTCTTTTTGAAACAGGGTCTTGCTGTGCAGTTTAGGCTAGCCCCAGGCTGGCCTCGAACTCAGAGCAATCCTGCCTCAGCCTCCTGAGTGCTGGGATTACAGGTGTGCATCATCTCGCCTGGCTAAATTTGAATGTGACTGTTGGAAGACTAGGGGGAGAGAAGGGGAGCCACACCTTCACCTCCCATAGAGGGAAAGTGACAGAATAGAACTAGGAGCCAAGCTTCCCAGGCTCGTGGAGGTGCCCACAGGAGGCGGGCACCCAGTGTCCGGGCTAGCAGTTGGCCAGAAGAGGTGAGAAGTGTTGCCTTCTCCTAAAAGAAGTGGGGGAGGGGAGTGCTGTTGTTTAGAATCACCTTCATTCTACTCGAGTACAAAGTGAGAGCGTAAGTGGCTGTGATGCTGGTAAGAAAGGGAGCGGACCCTGGTGCAGCAGTGTCCTCCAGCAGTGAATGTGATTCCTGATGAGGTCAGGTTTTCAGGGTTGGCACAGAGGCCTCCAGCGCCTGCTCCCCACCAAGACAGCCGTGAGAAAAGCTCCCCGTGCCGGGCGTGGGAGTGGAGGTGATTGCACAGACTGAGCTGCCTCTGCCCTGCCCCCAGATTACCCTCTGGACCTGAACCACAGCGAGTCCTTCCTCCAGACCACAACGTTCCTTCCCGAAGACTTCACCTACTTCTCGAACCACCCCTGCCCGGAGAGGCTCCCTTCCATGAGTGAGTAGCATCCCGCTCACTCTGCTGGCCTGGACGTGGGCTTGTGTGTTCGCTGATGGCAGAGCGGAGAGCGTCTTCTGCGGGCATCTGTCTGCCCTCCCGGGAGGACAGAAACAATCAGCTCTTCTCTCTGCACGCCGAGGCTGCCAGAGTCTCTTGTGTCCTGGCTCCTCCACCAGCCTGCTGCCTTCTGGGCTCTATTATCTTCTTTCCTCTTGACCTCAGTTGTAACCTGAGGATGTCAGGCAGTCAGCTGTGCCTTTTGGTACAGATCTCTCATTGACTGATTTGCTCTGATGGAAATTATTTTTTTAACAAGATGCTGGTTTAAAACTTTTGGGGGCCAGGCGTGATGGCACATACCTGTGATCCCAGCACTTGAGAGGCCGAGGCAGGAGAATCGCTAGGAATTCAAGAACAGCCTGGGCCACATTGGGAGTTCAAGACCAGCCGGGACTATAGAATGAGACCATATTTCAAAACAAAACAGACCCCCCCCCACAAAAAAAAAAAAAAGAGAGAAAAAAAAAATCCAACCTTTTCGGGAGCTAGGCTGGGTGGTGGCACACGCCTGTAATCTCAGCAGTTAGGAGATTGAGGCAGGAGGATTGCCACAAGTTCAAGGCTGTCTTGCACTACAAAGTGAGATCCTGTCTCAAAAAACTAAACTTTTCTGCATCCACTGATAGACCTTGAACAATTTGTTGTTCTTATGGTTTGCACTAGGATGCTAAAGGAAAAATCCCTGCGCTTTCTGTCTGTCTTTATGGCAGCGCAGATTGAATTGGGGAGTACACCTGTATGGAAAAAAAAAAAACTAAACTTTGGATCTTCCTTCTTTGGGAGCCCTGTGTGAAACTGAAAACAATGACAGTAAATGTTCATACATTTTCTATATTTTTGGGCTTCCTAATTTACTGCTTTTTTTTTTATGAAAAAGGAAAATCCTAAATTTTCAGCATTTTTTGTTTGGTTTGGTTTTCATTTCTTTTTTGAGAAAGCACCTTGCTGTATGTATGTAGCTCAGGCTGGCCTTGAACTCACTGGGGCCTCTAATTCTCAGGGCTTCTCTTGCTTCAGCCTCTAGCGTGCATCAGCACACCTGGCTCAGAATTGACTTTAGTGTTCAAATAGTGGAAATGGGGTCCAGGGGTGTAGCTCAGTGGTGCAGTGCCTGCCTGGCAAGCACAAGGTCCTGAGTTCAATACAGCAGAAAAGAAAAATAGGTGCAATAGAAAAGAAAAAAGGCAGTCACCCAGTAGCTTTTACCCCTATCGAGAACCTGTAACATTAAGAGACAAGCACTTTCCAGGCCCCCTTCTGTCTCTCCTGGACTGAAGCTTTCCTTCCTCTCAATACATTCTTCCTACTCTCAAACAAAGGAAAAAAAAGAATAGTGAAAACAGAAGTGCTGGGCGCAGCCGCGCTCCTGTCCCCGGCTGTAGCTGGCTGGAGGGCTGCGCCGCTTGGCCCGGCAGCCGTCTTTGCGTGTGCGTGTCACACACAGACACAGAGCTCTTCCGCCACAGCCAGCCTGTCCTGTGTTCACATGGAAGCTTGCTTTGGGAAGGCTCAGATTTGGGATTGGAAAGTCTGTTGGTGGCCCTGAGGGAATGTTTCTAGATGTATTGTCACGGTTCCACTCTTGGCTGAAGTCAAAGACTCGTGTTGGATGTGACGGATCAGGGCGCCTGACCAGTCAGAGTTAAGAGTTGCAGCATGTCTGGCCTGGCTTCAGGAGCAAACTGCCCTGGCCAGAGCTGGCTGCTTTTCTCCTCCATAGTTTTAATTTCTTTCTACCCCATTGGTAGAAACAACTTTAAAGTTTGAATTCCTTGTTCTTTACCAGATGGTAGCGGGTACTGAAATGCAGAGGGAGGGCTCCCAGCCCTGTTCAAGACATGGAGGCTTGAGCTTCCAGGATGAAACTCTTCCTGGATGAGCACAACAGGAGAAATGTATTGTTTTTCTGACCTCTCAATTGCCCACCTTTTCAGAGGGCCCAATAGACATAAATATGAGTGAAATCGCAATGGACGACATTCACGAACTCTTCTCCAGAGACCCAACCATCAAGCTTGGCGGTCACTGGCAGCCTTCTGACTGCCTGCCTCGATGGAAGGTAGGCTGTGGGTCAGACCTGAAGGCCTGGTGAACCCGCCTGGGCTTGGCCGTCCTCCTGAATCCACCCGGGATTTATAAGCCAGGTGCTCTGTAGTTTTTGCTCTCCACTCATTTGATAAAGTGTTTTGGAGGATTAGGTTTCCCCAGGGTCTCATCTGGAGCCAGAGAAACTTGTTTCAGTGTGACAGTGATGCAAGACTTCTTATCGTCCTTACAGGAGTATTAGCAAAGCTGGGAGTTGGTAGCTCTGTAGAGACACTGGTACACAGGTCATCCCCGATGCTGGTCTTCACTGGGTACTGTGAGACCAGTGGAATAACAGCAGAGTTACCTGGCTTGACACTGGGGGCTCCTCAGCTGAAGTCCATCTTTCAGTGAGTGTTTATCAGGATGCGGATTCTATGTTGGCCCGGTTAGATGTGAGAGGTCAGGAGTGCCTGGAACAGAGCAATAGTTCCAGCCCCTCCCCGGGACATAAAATCAGTCTGACATGAACCCCTCGCAGCATGTGCATCTCCATACTGTAGATTTATAGCACATAGATGATAGCACGGGAGTGTTACGTACATGAGTATAGTGTGCATGCGATTAGAAGCTTGTTTCACCCTAATTGGCGTTCACACATCTGCAGACCTCTTTGAGCACAGGATTGCAGTGCAGAATGTGTCCCGAGGGTTGTGGTCTAAAATGGCTTCATTCAAGCTTGCAGCGTGCGAGGCTCAGCGCAGGTAGAGGAAGACGCCCTTGATGCCTGCATGGATTTGCGAGCATAGGTCTGTGTTAGAGGACGTTAAGGACAAGCCAGCCAGCCCCCCTGAGCCCCACCCCCACCACCACCACACGCTCAGACATTTTGCAGGGGTGCAGCAGAAGTTCGGAGGACTAACTGGGTGGCTTCTTTGGCTGTGACCCACTCTAGGTGGCCATCCTTGTCCCCTTCCGGAACCGTCACGAGCACCTCCCCGTCCTGCTCAGACACCTGATCCCCATGCTCCAGCGCCAGCGCCTGCAGTTTGCATTTTATGTGGTTGAGCAAGTGAGTGGTTCTTTTTGTCTTTTTTCTGTTCTGAGGCAACACTTTAGAATGTTGCAGACTAATCCACCTTCCATGCGAAGGGCCAGCAAGGCAGGAATCTTAGAGCCAAGTGGCTCTGGGGTGGGAACAGGAACAGAAATGGCTTTCTGCGGTGGGTGTGAGATGTTGCCCCATTATTTGAGTGTGGGGTAGAACTTGGTTGGCTGAGAACAAAGACTTTCTGTGGGGGGATTTTGCTTGTGCTCACTCTGGGTGTTGTCTCTGGGCTCCCCATAGATAAGGAGGTGCATCCTGACCCAGCCCCAGATGAGGCCTGGGAGCTGGGGGACTATGCTTGTTAGTTACCCACATTGACTTCTCTGAGCCTCAAGGCTTGCTTTAGCTTTATTTTAATCCTGAAAATTTGGAGATTGAAGTTCCGTGAGGCGGGTTCAGTCTAAATATCCCTGTCCCGCTGTGAGGCCCAGGTCTAGTTCACACATTCATGTTACCAAGCCGGCATCTTTTAAATCTGTGATCCTTGAGCTTGAGATTCTGCTGAGAAATGAAAGGTTTGCACATGGCTCTCCATTCCAAGGACCATTGCAAACCCTGTCTACCATGCAAGCCACATCTAGGACTCACTGCAAGTGGCCATGGTGTAATTGGTTCCCTCATACGAGAATGAAGAAAGAGCCCAGCACCACTGTCCTGAACAGGGAATGCTTCTAGGAATGGGGTGAAATAGTCCAAACCTCTCTAATTTTTTGTTTCTGTTTCTGCTTTACCTGTAGCTTCTTAAAGTTGTGTTATAAAAAGTCTCCTATTGGGCCAGGGATATAGCTCAGCAGCACAGTGCCTGACTGGCAAGTGTGAGGTCCTGAGTTCGATTCCCAGTCTCCTTCCCCTACAAAGTCTCCTATTAATTAAATATAAAACATTTCTAAGTCATATTCCTGTCCCTGTCCCATGCTGGGTGTTTTGCTGCTGGCAAGGGTGAGTAAGTGTTAGCATTTAGGTCACATAGGCCGTAATTGATGTGAGCTGGTCTCTTTCGGGAACTGCCAGAGTCTCTGGCAGGAGGCAGGAGGCCCTGCTGTCCTAGTGACTCGTGGTCTTCAGATGAAACCAGCTGGAGCAAATAGCAAAATCCTCTTCCTACTAGATTGGGTTTATGAAATAATATTTCCAGATTGTCTGATACGCCCAAGACCGTGACTGGCAAGTTTCGGTAATGTGGTGTTAAGAAACAGATAAGTGGTGGTTCTTTCCTCTCACCCTCATTTCCCTGTGCTTCCTGTTATGTGGTAGAATTTCCACCCTCAGCAGCCTTGGGAGAGAACAGCTGGGGTTTTTCACCACTTTGATGTAAAGAAATCAAGAATGGTGATCATTGATTTCTGAGTCACAGAGTCTGTCTGTCTTTCTGTCTAGCTATGGTTTTTTGAGATGGTCTCACTATGTGGTTCAGGTTGACCTGGAACTTATATGTAGCCCAGGCAATCCTCCTGCCTCAGCTTCTCAAGTGTTGAGTACATGCATACCTCATCACGCGTGGTTTAAGAATTCTTTTAAAAAGAGTTTTGCTTCTTTAGGTTGGCACTCAACCCTTTAATCGAGCCATGCTTTTCAACGTTGGTTTTCGAGAAGCAATGAAGGACTTGGATTGGGACTGTCTGATTTTTCACGATGTGGATCATATACCAGAAAGTGATCGCAACTATTATGGGTGTGGACAGATGCCCAGGCACTTTGCAACTAAATTGGATAAGTATATGTATCTGTGAGTATTGTTTTCTCATAAGAGGTTAAATCTAAAAAGATAAGAGATGCAGAGATGAAATGCAGATTAGCTGCAGCCCACGTGTCCATCAGCTGATGAGTGAGTAGCCAGAGGGAGGGATCTCTGTACAAGGGAATACGTTTGGCAGTGAAAGGGAGTGCAGTGCTACAGATGCCACAACATTAGCGAAGGAGCCTTGAAAACCTGGGGCTGAGTTAGGAAGCTGGACACAGAGGTCATATAATGTGACCGCACTTACTGTGTGTAAAATGTCTAGTACAGGCAGACCTGTGAGAGGGCAAGCAGATCAGTGGCCGCCCGGGGCTGGGGGGTTTGCCGTAGTGACTGTGAATGGGTGCGGGCTTTTTGGGGATATGAAATAAATAATGATTAATGATTGTGTTCATGGTTGTGCAGCTTGGAATGCTAAAAACCACTGTTACATGCTTTTTGAATGAGTGAATTGAATGGTATATCAGGTGTGTCTCTGTATAACTGTTGTTAATGAATCAGGTACGAGAAATTCCCTTAGCTCCTTTGGTGGGTACAGGTCCGCACAAGGGGCCAGTCGGGGAATTCAGGGCAGTGGCATGGGGAGTATGGTTGTGGGGCGCTAGGAGCCACCTGTTGTAGAAGGACTCAACCTTGTGCCACCCGGGACCAATGCTGTCTCTCTTTCAGGCTTCCGTATGCTGAGTTCTTCGGGGGAGTGAGTGGCTTAACGGTGGAACAGTTTCGGAAAATCAATGGCTTTCCTAACGCCTTCTGGGGCTGGGGCGGAGAAGATGATGACCTCTGGAACAGGTACTGCCCACAGCAGGTCCCAGAAATGCTGCCTCCGGCTCCTTGTGGGCTGTCCAGGAGGGGTGTGAAGAAGCCCGCTGAGTCAGCCATGTTAGACGTGCATTTCCCTTCTGTGTGTGGGTGTGGGGGTGCTGGATTGAACCCTGGGCCTTAGCCATGCTCGGCAGGCACTCTGCCCCTTAGGTAAGGTACCCCCGCCCTCTTTATTTTGACACAAGGTCTTGCTAGGTTGCCTGGGCTGCTTGGAAGTTGCAGCTCTACCTCAGCCTCCAGAATATCTGGGATTGCCATGAGTACTACCCACAGCTGTCTCAGTAACCACATTTTAAAAGGTTTTAAAAGGGGAGAGCTGAAATCAGTTTTGGTATTACGGTAGTAATACATATAATACAGTGTTTCCTATATATACATTATAGAGTCCAGCTCAGGACCTTGTGCTTGCCAGGCAGGTGCTGTGCCACTGCGCTGTATCCCCAGCCCCAAGATGATGTTTCTGTGTATGATCAGTATAAAATGTTGCGATAATTCATGTCCATTTCTCTTTTACTAAATGTTTGAAATGCGGTGTGTGCTGTGTGTGGTAGCTCCTGTCCCCTTTCAGTAGGCATGTGTCGTGGTGTGGCTACCAAGCACTAAAACCGGTCCACGCCGTTCTTGGTGTGGATGTTAGAAGAAGACAAGTAATTTTCCTTCACAATAGAGTAAAGAATATTTGGAGCCAGAGGTGATTTATGTGTATGTAAAAATTATATCATTATAACACTAAAGAATGAAAACACCAGTTACCATGCTCAAAACACAAAACAAAAGCCCTCTATAGCCAACCACAGCATCGTGTTTTCTTTTTGTTCTCAGTGGATATGGAAAAATAAAAGGCTAAATGACAACAGTTTTTCTTACCAGGAATGTGCACGTTGTAAAGCACACAGGGGCTTGTTGCCTGCAGTGTGAACACTGAGAAGTGACATTAATCACCATTTCAGGGAGTTTGTCTTTAAAACGTGGTACATGAACAATAATCTAATGTCAGTTTTTTAACTATAAAATAGCAGAATTCTAAATCTCAGGGTTGCAAAACCCAAGAGGGATGACGGCCGTGCGGCCTCCTCACTGGCCCTGGTGGGTGCTGTGTCTGTGCGCGGCGCATGAGGCCGTGCGCTGACTCCGTTTAGTTCTGTGCCCTGGCTGTGCCGTAACCATTCCCTCCTGAGTGCTTAGTCTTCTGGTTTCCCCTCTAGAATAGATTGTAGTGGATGTTCTTCAGCCTGTTTCTTACTCATGTGTAGGAAAAATTCCTAGGAATGAAACATGGTCCAAAAAGAATCATTTTGAAGGCTCTTAAGCTGTATTAGAACAGAGTACCCCCTCCTGCCATAGACGATACCTAACATTACACTTCACCGACGTCGTGTGTCACTGAACCCTCTCCAGACTGCGTGCTGCAGTGTCAGTGACAGTGCACACAGATGTGGCCATGCATGAGGCTTGTGTTACACAGTCCATGTGAACAGTCCTGGGTGTGCGTGGTGTCATGTTTTACAGAGTAATAAGAAACAGGTAATCTATAAAAACCAAATGTAAAAGAATTTAATTTCTACCATACTATGTTTGCTTTCTGTCTTGGCTTTTGAAAAGAAAGTACATTTTTGTAGTTAGGAGGTAAATTGCTGGTAAACTTTCAGAAGTTGTATGTGGTAGCACATCCCTGTAATCCTACCAGTCAGGAGGCTGAGGCAGGAGGATCACCAGAGGGTCAAGACCAACCTGGGCTACATAATGAATTCAAAACTAGCCTAAACAATACAGCGAGACCCCGTCACAAAGATAATCATCGTCATCATCAGAAGATATAAAGATGTATAAGCCAAAAAGATGGAAGTCTCAGTCAGTGCCACCAGTGTTACTCCCTGAGAGTAACCTTTTAACAAGCTTTCTTTTTATTCACATCCAGACAGCCAAGAAGTCTCTTCCCACATCACTACCTGTGTTTTTAGTAACAGTTACACGGTATCCCTTACTCAGGTGCACAGTAATTCATTTTGCTCCTCTCCTTTCAGTGGATATTAGATGTTTGTATTTTTTAGTATCCTTTGTTCACATGAGCAGATATTTCTCTAAATTGCTAATTATGAACTACATAGGCAAGAAGTGCACACATTTTCTAATTTCTTTTTGTTTTTTTAACCAAATTCTCCTGCTCCCACCCCTGACCCCCACATTCTGACCAATGGTACCTTACTGTGCCTGCCCACTTTTCTCCCTTTTTCTGGTGTGTGCGTGCGTGCGTGTGTGTGTGTGTGTGTGCGTGCGTGTGTGTGCACGCTTGTGTGTGCTAGGGGTCAACATCACCTTTTGAAAGCGGAAAAAGCAAAGCCCTTAGCCCTGGGGGTTAGCCTGGGGTCCTACCATGCAGGTGAGCGCTGCCCAGCCGAGCTGTGCCCAGTGTGCCCATCACACCAAACCGATGCGGCACAGAAACGGCCTTGTGCCTTTTCCCAGCCTGTGGATGACATAGCATTGTTTTCCATGCACACACCTGGGTGACCGGTCCTCAGGGCCGGTGGCGTCTCCGAGGCCGCGCCTCGGCTCTCTGCACTCCTGGCAGCTCCCAGGCAGCAGAGGCCCGTGTGCAGGGGCTGCGCTGGTTTTCTCCAGCACCCTGCACAGTCCCACGCACACCGCAGGCACCTGTATCTGCTGTGCTTGAGCGAGAGCACGTTTGGGTGGTTAGGAGCCAGAAGGAAGATATTGTAAGGAACTCTCCCGTCATTGCCCCTCAGTCGCCTGTCTGCCCTCCTGTGTCAGCTGGCTCTTAGAGCCAGATCAGTTGCACGATGGGATGGGAAGTCTTCCCTTTACTAACAGCATTCCGGATGGAATTCACCTCTGAATTCTGCTGCCCAGTAGTGACCGCCCATGAGTTAAGAGGTGTACTTGAAGGTCAGAGCCACATCCCAAGAAGTGGTTCGTCCCTGTGGGCAGATGGGCAGAGGCCTCAAGTCAAGAAAATGCACAGTTGCCCTTGCCGAATCGCTTCATTACAGTGCGGAAGGGCAGGTGCTGCGGAAGCCAGGAGGAAGTGTTTTGCTAGCTGACCAGAGCCCTGTGTGTGCCTTGGAACACTCCTGTGCTCCCTGCCACAGGGCCATGTCAAGTACACTGCATTCTTTTCTTTATTTTTGGTGGTGGTTTGTTTGTTTGTTTGTTTTTGTAATCGGTACCTGGGATCGAACTCATGAGCACATGCTTGCAAGGCAGGTGCTTATGCTGCTGAGCTAAATCCCCAGCTCTGCTTTCTTTTCTAAACTCGCAAAGTTTTGGAAGGATAAACAACTTGAATATCTAGACGCGGAAGTTCTGCTGTCCCCTGGTGGTTCCTTGGGATACTCCGTGTTCTGCACCAGGGCCTTCCCTTCGAGGTGTCCTCTGCTGCTGTGAGACTGACCTAGCAGCTTCCCTGGCCTGTGCCCACCAGGTGCCAGTCGAGATGTGCACGTGTGCATGTGCTCACCCATCGCAGGGCCCACACATGTGCCCGGGGGCCACGGGGCGGTGAAGCAGCTGGCTGCCTGCAGGAGCCGTAAGGAGGTGGACGGCTCATCTCCACCTGAGGTTCGCATGTTTACCTCTGCCTGCCAGCTGTTTGGTCTAGGCTGTGCCCTTCCCTTCATCCCAGCTCTGCTGGCTGGACTTTTGTTCGTTCTTTTGCTCACTTCTGTAATTCCAAATGTTTCCCAACATAATTCTCAGTTTGGGCTCTTTCAAGTAGAGTGAGGCCAACTTTTAAATATCTGAATTCAAATCTTTCCAAGTACTTTTGGTTTTTTTTCCCTTCAGTCTTTTCACCCCTTCTATCAGGTGTTTTCAAAGCAGTCAACTCCATTTTCTTGTATTTTCTTAATTAATATCTGATTTAAGTTTTGCAAAGTGGCCACAGCAAGTGCAGGGAGCTGGAAGTTTGGGATCAGCTACGCCCACTTTCTGCGTCCGGCTGCTCTGTGGGAGAGGGGCCACAGTGACACAGTTGTGGGGCGCCGAGAGTCCCTGGGTGGAGGTGGGTGAGGAAGCGTCTGCCCCCACACTGGCAGGGAAGGCCCCAGGGTGGCAGTCTCTCAGGCTTTGGTTACCCTGGGGGGACACTTTTATCTAAAGGCCCATTCTTTGGTCTTGGACAGAGTACAGAATGCAGGCTATTCTGTGAGCCGGCCCGATGGTGACACAGGGAAATACAAGTCCATTCCTCATCACCACAGAGGAGAAGTCCAGTTTCTTGGAAGGTGGGTGCAGTTCGTGGACCTCTTACGGGCGTCCGCTGTATGTGCGTTCACTCTGTGTCCTGGTGTCCTGGCTGTGTTCACATGATTGGTCCCACCCCATGAACGGAGTCCCGACCTGGCAGGGGCTCACCCATACCGCCTGTGTCTGCTTGAGCCATGACAACAGGGAAGGCGTCAGGCCTTGGGTGAGGATTTGGATAGTGAGGTCTCGGAGAAGTCCTTCACCCCTGTCCCCACCCACTCCTAAGCACGCAAAGCTGGGTCCAGAGCTCCGTCTGGGCTGCAGGTGCTGTGTTCCCCTCCTTCTGTTACAGATAAATCTCAGATAGGACAGAATAATGCCTGTCTGTGTTCACAGGTGACTTTTGGGGGTCTGTTGCAAACCGTGGGGAGACTGTTCTCTAGACAAGCGACTCTAACCGCCAGCACTACCTCTGTGGGAGTGGACAGGCCCCGAGCCCGCCCTGCTCTGTGGTCCGCCCCACTGTAGTCACACCCCTTCCGGCCCGCTTGGCGACCGTGGCCCAGTCACTTCAGGCCACCGGGCCTGGGTCTCCCTCGTGGGGCCGAGGGGGCCGAGGCGCCTCCTGTGGGGCTGCCGGTGCCCCACGCTGCCTGCCCCGGCAGGAGCCGTCCTCACCGGGCGCCCTGTGCTTGGCCTTCAGGTACGCCCTGCTGAGGAAGTCCAAGGAGCGGCAGGGGCTGGACGGCCTCAACAACCTCAACTACTTCGCGAACGTCACGTACGACGCCCTGTATAAGAACATCACTGTCAACTTGACCCCCGAGCTGGCTCAGGTGAATGAGCACTGAGCGTGCGTGGGGTCTCCACGGGAGAGACCAGAACACAGGCTGGCGGAGGACCGCAGGGTTCCAGGAGAGCTGTGACACCGTACACGCACAAACGCCTTCACTGTAGGACCCGCTGGGACCGAGGGGTCATCTGGACACCCTCGTCAGTACTGGCTTTTCGTTTCCACAAGACAGACGTCTGTCCTGCTGCTGTCCCCATCTCCCCACCTAGCGTCCCGTCTCACCACACTCCCCAGCACCCGCGACCGGCCGGAGCGGCTCCAGCTGGCAGCTGCGCGCCGGGGAGCCGAGAGGACCCCACGCCATTCTTCACATCTCTGGTGTTCTCTTTGGTTTCATTTTTTTAAAAATGACCTGCTTTGGGTGGGGATTGAGGGTGGAAGGGGGGGATTTGGGGACGATAAATAGACATAAATATGTAACAGTCACTTCTTGAAGAAGTATAATTGTAAATAAGCCATGTAAAATGCCTTTTTTAAATTTAATTTTATAGCTGGCTCCAATTCAAAGTGAAGATTTGTACATTAGATCACTTACTTGGTTGGCAAATGCAGGAACTCAGTTAAAATGCAATTGAAGAATATCATCTCCCAAATCACTGTCTCTTTGAAAGGGAGTGGATACAGAACTTGTCCTGGACCGCGTGGACCCCCTTCCTCCCCGGAAGCCCACCTCTTTCTTCCCACCCTCCCCTCCGCTCCCCTCCTGCAGGAGTCTCGCTCCTGCCTTCTGCTGTATGCCCCCGCCCCCCTGCGGCCAGTGCCAGACGGGAGGCCCCGATGTGGGGCACACTGCGGTCCCTGCCCACAGCTGACCCCGGTGCTCCCTGTGTGGGAGCAGCTCTCTGGACTTGAGCTTTTGTCCCGTCTCCTGTGGGACTTGGCCCAGTGTCTGAGAGCTGTGCCTAAATGACCAGCTGGCTTCAGGGATTCCTGCTTCCCTTTTGGTTTCTGGAAAGATCATTCGTGCACAGCTACTTTGTCGTGTGCTCCGTGGAAGCGAGGAGCAGTTGCTGTGGGAGGGGTTCAGCCCAGGGTGCAGGCGACGCTTGTGTGCTGTGGGTCAGCTCGGCTCCAGTGAGACCACATCAGAGCTTTGATGTTTAGACTAGCAGAGCCCCACGTTTCTGAAGTCAGATTCTAAATTGCATTTGAATTTGTGCCTCTTTGTTTTTCCCTGAGCCAATGCCCTCAGTTTGTATTTCTGGCCACTTCTGCAGGATTCTAGAAAATGCCAGGTTTTTCCTCTTCTCCTTTTCCATAAAACATATTTATATATTGTGATTAGGAGTGCTTTCTGAAGAGTGCTTCATATTTTTTTTAATTGCCTTGTTTGCCTTCAACTTCTTGATTTCCATGGTTTACATGGGTGTGTGTAGGGGCGTGTGTATCTGTGTGCATTGAGTTTTTCCTGTTGCATGTGTTGGTTCCATGGACATATGATCCCCACACGCTGTGGGAGTGATTGGCCAGGCCTTGTTTTTTGTTCGTGTGCTTGTTCTTTTGAAGAACAGAGTGGTATTTAGGAAATAAATCGCATTGCTGTGCTCTTATCGGCTCATATGAGAGAGCAGATCCTGCCCTTGACCGTGCTGGTAAGTTGTATCATACATTTTAAAAGAGTTGTGAGCATTTCATGCTTTCAAACACCTTCACGAGAGAACATCACCCGGAGAAGTTTCTCTAGTTTCTTTTGTCTTATGGTGCATATAGCAATAAAGACTCCTTCACCCTCACTGGGCCAGCCTGGGCGCTTCTGCCACACCCTTCTCTCTCGTCACTGAAGGCTGTGAGCTGCTTTCGTTGTGACAGAGCTGTGGTGTCCTTTGGAAGGATTTGCCAGGACAGGCTCGCTCTGGATCAGGGACGTCTGACCCAGGGCGTGCAGCAGCGCCACGAGCTGGTGATCGCGTTGGAAGCTCGGCGTTAGTGTCAGTGTTGCCAGGCGCTGCTGCCAGCTGAAGGCTGATGCATGATTTAATCACGGAAATGCTGATTTGAGGGTAAAAGGAAAGGTTTGTTTTCACTGCTTAAAGTAGAGTCACTTACGCCCTCTTGCAATCATGCCTAAGTTTGTTTTATTAGTATGGAGTCTCCTAATGTGCCCTGTTAATCGTGTACCCACCAATTTGAATATTGTATGGAAAATGTAATAGTTCAGGCATAGCCATGCAGATGTGCTATTCATGGGATGAAATTTTCATGTTTAGAAAAAAAATAAGAACCAAGTGTGACCTTGGACGTATTTTGGCAGCTGAAATTCTTCAAGGCTACTGACAGGTAACCCCTTAAACCAACCTAGTTTTTTATCACTATGTGCAAGAAAGGTTCCCCCTTTCATGCTGGTTTTTAGGGGAGGTGATCTTGCAGAAACACTCTTGGTGACGTAACAGGACTCTTTTGTCAGAGCTCCTCCACCAGACATTAGTAGCTGAATAACAGCCACATGCAGGGATCGTGTCCACCACCACCGTTACAATGGCATTGGACGTAGCTGGCTTATTTCCATCACTACTTGTTTTGAGCTTGCTCTTATGTTTTAAGAGGTGCCAGGGGTACATTTTTGCACTGAAATCTAAAGATGTTTTAAAAACACTTTTCACAAAAAATAGTCCTTTATCATTACATTATTTACTCATGTGTTTGTACATTTTTGTATGTTAATTTATGAATGATTTTTTCAGTAAAAGATACGTATTCAAGAACCAAACCTTGGTAGTCATCTCTTTCTATCCGTTTGGCTTTGTGGGGGCCTTTCCTTCCTTTGGGAGGTTCAGCTTCCAGAGCCCGGTGACCTGGGTGTCCTGAGGTAAACGCTGCTTGCGCCTTGCAGTGGAAAGAACTCTCGCAGGAGGTGGCAGCCCCAAGCCCCCTGTGCTGTCTGCAGGAAGGGCCCCCCCATTCCAGCCATGCTGCTGGAGAGTGGAGTTTGGTACCTTAGGGTCCTCTGAGATCAGCCCAGGGTTTGCCATCGGCCCTGTTCTGATCAGAGATTATAAGCATAGCTTCTATTTATTGAACATTTGCTACACAAAATGGTGTTCTTGGAGGTCAAGTTCTGTGCCCAGGCACTTGGGGCATGAGATGCAGGGTAAGATGGGCCCAGTGGCCTGCCGGCCCACTGTCCAGCGTGAAGAAATGAGGGGGATCGTACCAAGCCCTGCAGGAGAGGGCTGGGGTGGTGACACAGCAGGGGAAGGGCAAGCCTGGGAGATGGTACCTGCCGCAGGGACGGGAGAGGAGTAGCGTGGCCGGGCTTGGGGGAGATGGGGTGGAGTGGGGGAGACCTCCCGAGAGCAGCCTGGGGTCCGTTTCGGCCTGCAGGGCTGTGTGTGCAGGGGATAGGCGGTCGCTTCAGGAGCTATCTCCGGCTGAGGGATGGGGAGAAGCAGGAAGGGAAGAGGGGAAGTTAGGCGAGAGGAACGTGGGAGAAGCCGAGGGGGTGCCCAGGACCTGCTCTGAGGGTGACGGGGACGGATGAGCCGCCCAAGCTGTTGGCCTCCCCAGCTTGCAAGAGACGAGAGCACAGGGTTTGGAGACTAAACAGCAGTAGGTGGCAGCTGTGCGTGCTCTGGCCTAACACTCAAGAAGCCATCTGGACGCGGGTCTGTGAGTGTCTCGGCCTGGTGAGACAGGAGCAGGGAGAAGGCCGAAGCCTCTGTGTGCGCCTGAGAACACCCTGTGACAGCGGCAGGTAGGATCCGGAGTGTGGCAGGAGGGTCCAGAGCTCAGCAGAGAGCATTTGCAAAAAGTGACCCGGGATGAAAATGACTGGCCATGGGGCAAGTACCCAGAGCTTGGCAAGAGAAGCTTTGCTGAGTGGCGGGGTGGGAGCCATGGGGGACTGTGGGGTCGAAGGGAAGCAGCAGAGCGTGGGCAGCACTGGACCCCTGGGAGGGGAGCAGCGGGCTTGGCTGGAGCAGCACGGAGGCTCCCTTGAGCTCGAGCTCTGCTTTTCCCGAGAGAGAAACGCAGTGGACCACGGAAACCTCTCTCGGTGGGAGGTGTCTGTGACAGGTGGCCCTGTAGGTGTGTGCCTGAGTTAAAAGCAGGGGCCGAGATTTAAAGCAAAAACGGGTTGGGAGCTCACTGAGCGTCTCACTGGCCCATGCAAATGCCCGGAAGTCCAGTCGTCAGAATGGAGGCCTGGCAGAGGGGATCCCTGCTCCCCCCGCTTCCTCCCCACTGCCAAAACTGCCTTAACTGGGAGAGCAGCAATACTAAAAGTGGTAATTCCCGTTTATTACCTGTCTCATGCGTGGACCCCGTGCAAAGCACCCCTTGATCTAGAGCGGGCTTCTCTGTTTCCAACCTGACCTTCGGGACCGGATCCCCGGGGCCCAAGGCGGGTGTCTGGCAGCCTCCCTGGCCTCTGCCCTCCACCAGCTGCTGCCAAATGACTGAGGAAGGAGCGGAGAAGGGCAGCCACAGCCTGCCGGAGTAGAGAGCCGCCGAGCCAGCCGGGGCCGGGCCGCCACCGGGAGATGCTCCTTCTCCCTTGACTGATTCCTGCTTTCTTATTTTTATTTTAAAGAGAATAAAACCAAGCAGAACAAAACAGAACAAAGCCAATCAAAACAATCCAGTGTAAGTAACACAGGACTTCAACAGGGAAGCAGCAGTGACCTGTGAGTGCCCCATCCGGAGTGCCCACAGCCTCCCGCTGCTCCCTTATCCAGCGGTGTCTTGCTTCTCAGTGTTTCTCACTCGGCTTCGTATTGTCTTTACCTTACTGTTCCTGGACTGTCAGCCCCGCTAAAGTGCCGCCCTCCAGCCTGGGAGACTCTGTTCTTTGCATCATCCTTAGTACCAAGATCTCTTCCTGCTGACATAGACTGGGGGACCGCTCCCCTCCACTTCCCTGAACCCGAGCAACACCCCAGGGCCAGCTCTGGCCTTTTCCTGAGGCAGAGATAAGACTCCTGTGAGCCAGGTCCTCCTGCGTGACCTGCAGTAACCTTTCTTCCCTTGGAGCTCATGTAAGGTCCAGGCATACAGAGCGCACCTCATAAATCCATTTGTAACAGTGGATCTCGGGTTAGGACTCGGCACCTGTGGTGCTACCCGCCACGCCCTGGGAGACCCAGGGAGAGGCGCCCTAGACCTGGCTCAACACGCTAGATTCCTTTTTTGTTGTTTTTTTCTTTTCCTTTTTTCTGGTACCGGGGATCGAACTCACAACTGCCTGCTTGCAAGGCAGGTGCTTTTCCGCTGAGCTAAATCCCCAGCCCCGACACACTAGATTCTTATCCCTGCACCCACAAGCTGATGCCACTTTTCCTTCCCTTGGCACAAACCCACTCGTTCAGCAGAGTGTTGCCTACTTACACTTGGTTAAACTTTGCTGCTGCTTCTTAACTGCTGTGTGCCATACAAGATCCTAGAAACCGAACCAGGCATGGTGATGCACGCCTGTAATCCTGGCGCTCAGGAGGCTGAGGCAGAAGGATCACAGGGAGTTCAAGACCAGCCTGGTCTATAAGTGAGGCCGAGGCCGGGCTGAACTGCACAGTGAGACCTTGTCTCAAAAAGGCAAAAACTAGAAACCAGTCTGGGACCATGTCTCCTATTGTAACACTGCCACATAGTAAATGCTCAATAAATGTTTAGTGAGTGAATGATAGCTGACATATTGTATTCCTCTGGTGGCTGTTGATGCTGGCTCTCTGTAAGGAATATTAACTTACTAAGCCATTTCCTTCCTGATGGGCATGAAGGTTGTCTGTGGTTTTGTACTGTCACACTATCTACACTGACAGCTACACATAAATTTGCGTACACAAGGTGGTCTACTTAGGTCACCTTGAGAGAGCACAAGAACAAATGGTGCACACTTTTTAAATGATGGGACATGCCAAGCTGCCCTCCAAAAAGGTGGTGAGTTCACCATCTGCCACCTATAAAGGACCACACCATTTTTATCTTTAGTCCCTTGAGATTAATTTTGTGTGTGATAGAGCAGGGGCTTAATTTACTTTTTTCAAAATGGAGTACTAATTGTCTGAACAGTCTATCTTGAGTAATCCTTAATCCCTTCTCCCCCCATGTTTTTTGTTTGTTTGTTTTTATCTTTTTGATACAGGGTCTCACTACGCAGTTCAGGCTGACCTTGAACTGACTTTGTAGCCCGGGCTGGTCTCAAACGCACAGTGATCCTCCTGCTTCAGCCTTCCAAGTGCTGGGATGACAGGTGTGCACCACCACGCCTGGCACCCCCCATTTTCTTGACAAATCAAGTCTCATACTTTAAATTCTGTAACAAGATTCTTCTATTCCCTGAGTTGTAGTCTCAATCTGTTTACACAGTTTCTGAGTGGATCCCTAATACACATGTTAATAAGACAAGTGACTCCTGTCTCCCGAGTTGTCTTAGTCACTTTCTCCTGCTGTGACAGACACCTGACGCTGGGAAGCGTACAGTACCCACAGAACTGGCATCCAGTGCTGAGTCACCATGGTGGGAAGTAGAAGGGTCAGAGACGGTGGACAAACAAGCAAGAGTGGCCTGAGCGTGCTTTCCTAACAGCTCGCTCATTGCCAGGCGAGGTGGCCGGCACTGTTGTTTCAGCTACTCAGGAGGCTGAGGCAGGAGGATTGCGTGTCTGGGAGTTGGAGTCAGGTCCGGACAACACGGCAAGACCCTATCTGGAAAACAACCAGCACCATCTACACACGGTACCTTGCCCTTTCCTGTGGTAACCCTAAGCTACCATAATGTTACCAGGTGACCAGGGTCCCCCTCCCGAGACTCTTACATCAAGACTAAGTTTCCAGCATGAACTCTGGGGGATACGAGCAAACCCTAACGCATGTTCTCCTCTTAGGATCACATGTTCGTGTAACTCCACTGCTTATCAAAATTTCCTGAGTCATTTTTGTATAATTTTTCAGTCCCGTGAAACGTAAGTATATTCTGTCAAGTTCAATAAAAAATCTATCTAAAGCTGGGTGTGTTCCACACAACTGTAATTCCAGCTACTCTGGAGGCTGAGGAAGGAGGATCCAGGTTTGAAGCCAGCTTGGGCAACTTAGGTGATGCGACACAGATGCGAGCCAGGACGTGGGGGGATGGCACATTGCCCACCAGCGGAAAAATGGCCAACACGCCAGGCTCCGTCAGTGCACATGAAATGGACGTGACCGTGCAGTGACAGAGACGCGGACGGCAGGTCAGGAAAGGAGACGCCACGGCTCGGATGTGCTGGTCTCGGTCTGAAGCTGCATTCTTGGGTCCCAGGTCCCATCAGAGAGGAGGCAACGGGGGATCAGGGGCAATGGCGGCCACTGCACTGTGTAGCCCAGGCCGGCCTCACACTTGGGATCCTCCTCCGCCTCCGCAGTGCTGGGATTACAGTCCTGGGCCACCGCGCCTGCTCCTCCTTCCTGTTCTCAGCCATTTTGCTACTCCATCCCCTCAGACAGAGTAAAAGCAAAGTGGCCTCCCTTCCCCTGCATCCCCCTTAGCCTTGACTCACGTTCATTCTGTCTAGGGACCTTTCTTCACAGGACAAGCCTGTGTTCTGTGTTTCTGTGTAACCTGGCTCTCAGCACATTTGTTGCAGAAAAACCAGTATCAAACCAAATGGAAGATTCTGCACCAAGGAGCTAGAAGGCACCTGTTTGTGGTAACGCTGGTGGGCGGATGGGAATCAGTTCCAAATTACCAGCTTACAGTGCAATTTAAATGCAGTTTGCAAGCAGCAAGTGTGG